GGGGGGGGGGGGGGGGGAGGGGGACTGGTTAATTCTGCTTTGGGAGCTTTAGAGATGAATATTGAGGGGAAAAGTAGACATTTTTCCTTAAATGTGAGCTCAGTACCTTCTCTGACCAACCTCTTCCCGTGGGTCTCAATTCCCTGTTGGAAGGAAGAGCACTCAGGAAGCAGAATCCCATGAGGGACTCAGTTTGCTGTGGTGATTCTCATCTGGTGCTAGAGCTGAGCTGAGGTCTGCAGCTCCAACAACAGGACAGCGATCAGCCTTGGACCTGTTCCCCACCCGGCCGAGTCCCTTTATGTGTGCTCTTACCAGTGGCCGTAATCCAGGTGCTGCCTGATGATGGTGTGGGGCTGTGCAGTCCCGTAGGCGTCCACCTCAGGCATGTTCATGTCATCTATGAAATAGATAAGCTTCTTGTTGCCTGTGGGGCCGTAATTTCTGCCCGCTTTCTTCTCCAGAGGCTTCTCCAGGACAGCTGAGAAGAGAGCCAATGAGTGAGGGAAGGAGGTTCAAAGCTCAGATGCCAGTTCTAAGGCAGTCCAATGTCAAGGACAAGCCATGGTGTAGCGTGCCATCAAGAGCTGCTCCCAGCAGCAGGCAGTTCTACAGGACCAGAGGGAAGGCGGCCGATGACCAGGCGGGAGTGGTGACAGCAGTGCCCAGGCTTTGAACATGTGACTGCGCACCGTGTTAGGTTTTTTTTTGTTTGGCCGCACTGTGCAGCCTGCGGGATCTTAGTTCCCCGACCAAGGAAGGAACCCGTGTCCCCTATGTTGGAAGCATGGAGTCTTAACCACTGGACTGCCAGGGAAGTCCCTCTGTTAGGTTTTTACAGACATTTATGGTCTCACCGAATCCTTACAACACTGCTACAAGATTAGTAAAATCACCCCTTTTATAGGTGACAGAACTGAGACTCAGAAGAATGAATTAACTCTTCTAAGGTAGAGCCAGGATACAGATCCAAACCAGTTAAACTTCAAAGCCCATGTCCCTTCTACCACACTTGCGGTCCACTTTCTTTGTTTGTAGACTAGAAAGAGAAGTCCCAAGGCCTAGTACTCTACCACCAAGGAAATCTGCAGACAACCAGATCCTGGGTAGACCTGCCCTCTCTACCTAAGACAGCAGGGGAGCAGCACATCCCAGGGCTGGGAGGAGGCTCCTTCCACCCCTGGGCTATAAGAGAGGAAACACCGGATATTCTGTCAACAGTATTCTCAGAGAGTTCACCTGCTGGGGTTCCCTGAGGGAGGGCAGAAACAAGAGCCCCAGAGAATTTCCCAGAAGCTTCCAGTATCATGAACAGCGCCCCTCTGCCTTCAGGTATCAGATCATCTTCAGTGCCTTTCTGGAAACCAAGTACAGACTCTCTCCTGGAGCTCTTTCTTCAATTACCCAGCCAGAGGGAAGCAATCAAAGAGTACGGTTCTCCAGCCTGACAGGACTTGTTTAGAGCAAATTTAAGTAATAGGCTGGAGATACATGTATTTTTTTCAGTAAAGCAATTAAATATTTATGTATTGCAAGAACCAATACTATTACCGCTGGAGACTCTAAGAACCATCTGATTCCTTTTCTTGAAAAACAAGTTTGTAAACAAGGAGGAGGTGTCAACAGACATATGAAGGTGACAGATAGAAAGACAAGTTCCTTCAAGAAGCTTGACTATTCCAATTTTCTGGTCCTGAGTTAAATTAAGTGTTCCAAATATGAATTAAATTTAAATTAAATTAGCATGCAATTAACATACACTATCAACCAATTAATCACCCAACACCTTCTTCCCCCCCTTAAGATATAACAACTATATATGAGATCTGTCAAAATGAAATATAATTAATGGGCTGTCAAGGACATGCCTTTGAGAACAGTCCTTCTAATAGGAAATTCTCTCCTTAGGAAGACTTGTTTCTCCTCCTCCCAAAGAAATGATATTCAAATCAACTCCTGGAATTAAGCAGACCCTGTAATTTGGGTTGATTAAGCTTTTTACGCTTCTCAAGGATTGTTGAGGAGAAAAGCACATCAGCTAACAAGAAGTGGGCTTGGAATGCACGGGATTATCTCAAACAGATGATGTCAAGTACTCCAGAGAAAGAGAGGTCTCCCTAGGAAAGGCACACACTTGCTGGATCCCTTCCTGGCCAAGCTCTGTCCCAAGTCCCATCTAGAATGGAATGGTAGTGAGTTCTTTTGCTTCCAGGTAGAACTGGAGGAGCAAAAGTGGGTTTACATTTCAGCAAAAATGTTGATGTTGAAGGCACTAAACAAATGAGACATATCAAGAAATGTGACCCTCCCACCAACTTTCCAGGTTCTGCACTGTTGCACACAAGGCCGTACCCAGCCCTGGAGCTCACCTGTGCAGTCTTACTGCATTTCTCCATCGGGAACGACTGGGCGGTCAGCCTGTGGCCACGTGGAGGAGCAGCAGCTGCCCCGTGTTTTGATTCACACCATCCCTCCTGCACTGTTTCACCACCACTGTGCATTGAAGAGCTGTTTCATTTTCAAAGCAGGTTCCTGTTTGTTACCTCATTTCACTGTCTCCACTGCTACCATCCTTGTCCGAGGCTCTCACCTGGTGACTGACACCCCCCAAATGGTCTTGCTGCTTTTGCCCTAGATGCTTACACTATATTCTCAAGACAGCAGACAGGGGTATTCTTGTGAGATGTAAATCAGACCGTGCCAGTCCCCTGGTTAAAACCCTTGGGTGGTGTGTCCCATCTCACTTGGAGCAAAAGCCAGTCTGGTTACTTGGGGAACCACGCATCTCGGTTTTTCTCTGTCACTGCTCCTCTCTTCACTCCCTCTGCTCCAGCCATCCTGCTTCTGACTCACTAGTCACTCACGGCCTCGGGGCCTTTGCTCTGGCTGCTTCCTGTCTGCAGTCCTCTTCTCCCAAATGCCAGAAGTTTGCTCCCTCACTCCCATTGTGCATTTATTTACTCAAATGCCATCTTCTCAGCAATCCCTTTCCTGGCACTCAAGCCCAAATGAAAACCCCACCTCCTATTCCCTGCCCCTGCTTCATTTTTCTCCATAACACTTATTACCACTTAATATCCTCTATATCTTTCTTATTCATCTTGTTTATTTATCTCCCTTCCTCCACATTATAAACTCCACAAGGCCAGGAATCTTTCTCTGTTTTCCTCACTGTCATAACCCCAGCACCTAGAATACTATTTAGCACAAAGGAGGGTATTCAAAAAATTATTAAAGAATGAATGACTTTTATTATGATAACAAACTCCATGAATAGGCAAAGAAAGACTTATCATCCTCTCTTTGTAACTAAGGAAACAGAGGCTAAGGCAGGCTAAATGCCGTGCTGGAATTAGAACCCAGGGCTGTTGATACTCATTTCAGTGCTTCTTTCATATCACTGGGGAAGAGAGGGCCTGTGAACCCTTATGCCCCAACCCTTCTCCAGGGCTTCCTTGACCACTGCAGTCCCACGATTCCTCCAGTCTCTGAGCACCAGAGCCGTGCATTCATTCACTCACACGAGCATCACTAGGGACCTGGCTTTGTGTGGAGGACTGGATGTGCACCATATCACTGACCCCTCAGAGCAGTCCTAGCATGCATTGTCATCACCTTTAAAAACTTCTTTCAACAAATGAGAAAACTGAGCTTTAGGGAAGCAAAAGGACTTTATCCAAGGTCATACAGCTACTGAGGGCAAAGCCAGGATTCTAACCCAGGTCTGCCTGACTATGGCATCTTATGTAACCACCACAGCAAAGTACCTCTTAAACTTTACTACGACCTGGCTTCCACCCTTCAGAAATCCCAGGTTTAGTTAACTCATTGTCTGACCATGTTTTTGACGGAGATCATTAATAATTAACTGTGTCTTACTTTGAACTGACATGATTTGTGTATCTGTGTTTGAACAATTTTCCTTTCATATTATCCAATTTTTCACATTAAGATGTTTCAGTTATATTGTAAGGGCTTTGCATTTATTCTTTCAAAAAATAACATACTTTGTATGATGATAAAATAATACATATTCATTATATAAAAATTGAAAAGCATAGAAAATCATAAAGATGAAAATGAAAATTGCCCATAATTCTATCACCTAGCAGTAAGCATTACTTTCAATATTTTGGTGTATTTCATTCTAGTCTATTTGCTCTGTTAGATTTTTTTCCTTTACAAAATTGGAATTATACTGTATATTCTGCCTGTATATGTTTTTTTCATTTCTCATATTGTAAACCTCTTTATATGATAATACCTAACCTCCCAAAACACGATTTTTAATTGCTGCATTGTGTTCTATAATTTGGAGGTGCCAAAATTTATGGAATGGTTTCCCTATAGTATGAAATATGTTGTTTTCAATTTCCTTATACTTTGAAACCCCCTCCCCCCATTCCAAGTAGAGTGTCTTGCCCACTAGGTGGTCTTTGATGATTTAATTTTGTGTCATCTCCTTTTTGGAAGATATTCAGGCAAGTGGCGAGAGTTGTCTATCTGTGATAACATAATGCTCCTTTGAAGTCGAGAGTTTGATCAGATCTTTTTTAAGGTCCTGTCCAACCTTAAACTTTTAATGAATAGGTGATGGAGATTTGTTTTACACAAGGACTCAGACTCCTGAGCTCCTATCTAATTAGCGTAATTACTCACTCAAATATTTGTTGACCTAATACTTCAAATCGCAGTTGGATGGCAGAATTCAGGACGGTGACGAGCATCATTTTGGCTCACTCGCTTCACACTACAAATAGAAGCCCAGTGATGCTGTGACCCAGTTCTTTACCTCTCCTTTTCCCTTTCTAAACTGTCCTGTCTATGGGTCATTGCAAATTCTTTTAGTTTTAAAAATTCCTTATATTTTCAAAATGAATGAGAAAAGCCTTAAGTTATTCCAACAGACATAAAATACACCAATTAAAATAAAGGCTAAAAAGGGATTCCAAAACAATATAGAAGAAACTTATTTGTACCAGTAATCAGGGATGACATAGTTACTGTAACCAAATAAAAATGGTCACACTGTTCTTTATGAACTGCCTCCTTGAAAGCTCAGAACTAAATCTATGTTTAATTACAGCAACCATGTCACCCCAGATCACTGGTATAAACCCATCTCTACTTTTGTATGAAAAAACTTTTCAGGCACTCAATTCTAAAAGGCATATATCGTGGAAACTTACAAAAGGTGTATCATGCTGCAAAATGGGCATGGAGATATTAAAAAAAAACCCTGAAAATTATCTTTTATTGTCCTACCTTTCAATCAACACCAAAGGGTGGATCATTAAATGGTAACTCAGCAAAGGGAAAGAAAGCAGTGCAACTGCGTCTGTGGCACTTAGAACAGCTGGAGGAACGGAGATCTGCCTCTCTCAGCCAAGGTGTCAGTGTTATTAATCTGTGATTTGTGCAGCTGCTGGTGAATGATCAAGTGAAGTCTGAGAGTTTCAGTGACCACGTGAAGGCCCTATT